TCCTTGTAGCAGGAGCAGCTGTGCCTGGAGCTGCGGTGTTGCAAGCTGCTGTCCCTGGAGCTGCGCTGTCCCTGGAGCTGCTGTGTTGCAAGCAGCGGTGTTGCAAGCTGCTGTGTTGCAAGCTCCTGATGGAGTGGATGCTGGATTTGCATCATTTGCAGCATTTGCTGCATTTGCAGTTGAACTTGCTGCATTTGCAAGAGTACTTGGTTCCCGTTGTTCTCCATCTTTACGAATGGCGAAAAAAATCGAAAGTCTACTCTACCGATAGACAAATGACTTGCGAAATCTTCTTTTGCACACTACAATGAAAACTGCAGCCTCTTTCCTTTTCGTATTGAAAACCGTTTATGTTTCATTAAATACCCCAAAACCAATTAGATAAGAATAAGTTGTTAAGTTTGATTTGATTTAATATAAGACTTTCATTCTTTTATTTATATTTTATACAATAATAATAATTTTCAATTTATTTTAATTTATTTTAAGGTGCTGATAAAAAATAACTGTAACTTATGATTAAACGTTTAACATTTAAATAGAAGTATTCATTTTATTATTCTATTTCGATTGGTGTATCACTCATTATGATCCATAGTGATCAACTGTTTTGTATAAGTTTAAATTTTGAAAGAAACGGTTTCGTTTCATCCGGTTTCGTCCGGGTAACGACCGGGAAATTTACCGGTTGAATTTCACAACGCCTTGGCACCAAAAAAACGACTAACTTTGCGATTGTTTTTTTATAAATAAATAATAAATTGGATGGATTTAATTCAAACCTTTAATATATTTTTAAGTGCCATTTTAATAACATCCACTAATTTTTATAGCCGATACTATCGGCTAATATATCGGTGGCAAAGCGATTGCTGAAACACTATTAAAAAAATGCGTTTTGCCGTGTTCACTGTACCTCCGCTAAAAATGATCGGATTTCCATTTCGTTTTTACATTTCGCTTAAGAATTGAAAAAACCCGTCCCCTAGGAAGCCTTTTTCTTAATTTTTTATTTTTAACAATTTTTTTCGAAAGTCAAAAGTGCGTTTTTCATCTAAAAAATTTGACTTTCGGCTTAAAAATAAAATATTTTAACCCGCCCCAGGGGGCGGGTTTTTTTTATGCAGAAAAATATGCGACAAATTTGAAAACGATCGGTTGAGCCGTTTAGAAATGCTTATGAACACAGACTTTCGAAACGTGGTTTCGAGAAAAACGCACTTAAAGATGCACTTACGCACCTAAAGTCTAAGAGGTTAGGGTACTAGATTGGGCATAACTTCTAAAGTAGTAATCTAATAAATGTTAATGTACAAAAAAATTCATATTTTTTTTTTACAAGACCCTACCCTCCTTAAGGGAACGACCATACGCATCAAGTTAGCAGAACAACTTTGGAAATTGAAATTTTTTTCTTATTGACAATTTGCCGTTATTTATCCGTAAATTATACGTGAAACAATTAATTTTGCCGCTTAACTATTTTAAAAGTTTTAGGATGTTCTTGATAACTTGATATCAAGTTAGCAGTACAACTCCTTAAATGTTAACTTTTCCAAAATGTTTTTAAATGGGATTTTGCCGTTATTTATCCGTATTATTATGAAAGAAAAAATTTGGTCACTCTTAATTTAAGATTTATTTTTTAAAAAATATCTAGCCATGTCCGTCTGTCCGTATGAACGCTGAGATTTTTTAAACTACAAAAGGTAGAAGGTTAAGATTTTCCACACATATTCTTGGGCCTCCTACGCAGCGCAAGTTTGTTTCAACCGAGCGCCACGCCCCCTCAAACGCCCACAATGGCCCACTAACGATTTTAATTTAGTATAAATTCAATTTTGTTGTGTATATTTATACCTATCGAAATGTAGAAGACATTTTTAAAAAGTTATACGCAATCAAAATTAATGTATCTACCTCCCTCGCACTCCCTTTAGCTGAGGATCGAATATTAGATAGTCGGGACACCAACCCGAGTACAGCGTTCGCACTCCCTTTAGCTGAGTGACGGGTATTAGATAGTCGGGACACCAACCCTACTAAAGCGTTCTTAACTTAACTAAAGCGTTTTAACTTCAAACGTGAATAAAAGCTTTGTAACTAAAAAAATAAATAACATAATAATGCAGAAATAGAGCTTATTTTATTACCTTTTCATTGATATATATATCAATACTTTATTTTTAATTTTAAAGAGATTCATGCAAAAACAAAAAAAAAACCGAATGTTTAGGCCACATTAATATTCGGTTTTTTCTTTTTGTACTAAAAATCTCAAAATTTATTTAAAAATAAACTTAATTTGACATTTAAAATACTAGTCATTATTGCCTATAAGGTCGTTTAAATGTTTTGGCACATATACAATTTTTTTTTGCATATTCTGGACCAGTTTTACCTATGTAAAAAAGGATGTGTGAGAAAGTCAAAAAAATTAGCAAATTAGTTCACTTTGATTCCTAAAATTTTCCAGAATTTCCAAGAAAAAACACAGGTATGTTAAAATTTAATATTAATTTATTTTTCCTTGGATCCAAAATGGAAGAAGAACGCAAGTTCCGTACAATGTCTAAGGGCGCCTAAGTCCTAGCCATTGCCTAGACCATGGACGCCACGAGCTGCAGAGCCATACCTGGGTCCTTCGCTTCCTCCTCGAACACCTGAAATGCTTCTATCAGGTGATCATGTCGGACCTCTGTCCACTTTTTACCAATGTCCTCGAAGATGTTCGAATTTATGTTGACCAGCGTAACTGGACTTCCTGGAACTACTTGGAAAATGTTTTTAAAAAGTATTTTATTCTTTCTAACTCATTACACTCATTACACATTGAGCGTGCGTGGTCATTATTTATACTGCGGGATACGACTATAAATTCGTTCAGCACCGCTATGTACATACATATGTTTCTTTTTTAAAGGTCGTGTTCCTGTATGCATGTATGTCGGTGGCGCCCTTCCGATAAAGTACTCCGCAGAGGTGTCGGTGGTCATAAAGGACCGGACACCTTTTCTTAAATAGCCAATCCATTGAATCTACATAGGTTGGCCGAGTTTCATTTACAAATTAAATCGATATTTCAACCAAATAACAAGAGAGAACGCTATAATCGGGTGCCACGACTATCAGATACCCGTTACTCAGCTAAAGGGTGTGCGAAAGAGATGGAAATATAAAACTTTGATCCAGCAAAACTTTTTAACGAATGGCCCTATTTCTACATTTCGATAGGTATAAATAAGGACGATATTCTTATGTATCGATAGTCGAAATATCGAAACTTATTAACATAGTAATAAAAAAAAACATCAGGGGGATTCCCTAAACTGTTGAATTGCTGAATTGTTGAATTTTGGTCAGCTGTTAATCAGCTGTTTCATACAATGTCAACTTTCAGAAATTTCAGCAATTCAACAGCCTCGGGGCTGTTGAAAATTTTGTTGAATTGCTGAAAAGCCAGAGTTGTCACCTTTTATTAAAAGTCATGGCAACTCTGTAACATTTTAGTATCACCAGTAGTTTTAAAATCAACTTAGAAAGCATATTTGTGGTTCTTTTTACCTTGGTATCACTTTTAGACACTAACTAGCAATAATAAATCAAATTGTACATGCTTTAAGTTCCGTGAAACTTTTCAACAAATAACAGCTGTTTGAAAATTCCACAGGAACCATTTTGGGTCGTTCCCTTAATTGCTGAAACTTTTTGTTGAATTTTCAACAATTAAGCAATTCAACAGTTTAGGGAATCCCCCTATCAATTCATATAATTGTTCAGCCATTTTTGATTTTTATGTATCCACGATAGCTGTGAGCAGTGCTGCAGTTCTGCTGGATGGATCAGTAATCAAGTTTGTTCTGCTGAACGCCATGATACATTTCGACGACGTAAAAGTAAAATATATAACAAATATTGCGCGCGCAATTTGAAAATATATATTTTTCCCGCCCCCGCAACTGCAGCACTGCTCACAGCTATCGTGGATACATAAAAATCAAAAATGGCTGAACAATTATAAAAAATTCCACCGAATTTATGGTTTTTATTAAATTATTTTGTTAATAAGTTTCGATATTTCGACTATCGATACATGCCAGAAGTCATGTATCATGTATCAAGAAAAGGTAGCAGGGGGATTCCCTAAACTGTTGAATTGCTGAATTGTTGAATTTTGGTCAGCTGTTAATCAGCTGTTCCATACAAAGTCAAGTTTCAGAAATTTCAGCAATTCAACAGCCTCGGGGCTGATGAAAATTTTGTTGAATTGCTGAAAAGCCAGAGTTGTCACCTTTTTTTAAAAGTCGTGGCAACCCTGTAACATTTTAGTATCACCAGTACGTATTATTTATTTTAAAATCAACTTAGAAAGCATATTTGTGGTTCTTTTTACCTTTATAACACTTTTAGATAGTAACTAGCAATAATAAATCAAATTTTACATGCTTTAAATTCCGTGAAATTTTTCAACAAATAACAGCTGTTTGAAAATTCAAAAGGAACCATTTTGGGTCGTTCCCTTAATTGCTGAAATTTTTTGTTGAATTTTCAACATTTCAGCAATTCAACAGTTTAGGGAATCCCCCTAGCGTACTTTTTTTGCTACCTGATCACTGATGCAAAATTCTTGCATCATGATCAGTGATCATGTGCGTTGAGCAGAACTATCGTAAGAGATCCATCAGTGATCAGTGATCATGTTGTTCTGCTGAACGCGGCCAATGTTTCAATTTTTGCTGACATACATGATTCCAACATCATCAGTATGTATCAAGTTTTTTTTGTGTGTGGGGTCTTCTAACGCCCGATCAGTAGGATTTTTTGTGTTGGTATTATTTAAACTACTTACTAAAAGAAAATACAAAACAAAAAACATTTATCCAGTTACAACTGTAAATAACCGATTAACACCTTCAACTCTACAGTTGTTTGTGCGAAATGCAGGAATACCCCAAATATTATTAAAATTGTACAAAATTGTACGTGGTATATTTTTACGTTCTACAATTGGTCATACAGAGCCGGCTTTGTGAAAATTTCAGGCGGTGCTGTTGTCTTTCAAATACAAGTTGCCCAATAATATGCAAAATGTATCCCGTGAGCTCCCAAAAGAGGTCCTGGACGTTCGCCAACGAGGGTCAGCTGATGGACTTCCGCGTGGAGCAGAACAACAAGTACATAGAGGGCCATGAGGCAGAGGCGGGTCGCGACATCGAGGAGCACTTCCTCACGCCGCCGGAGGAGCGCCTGTTGCTGAAGCAGTACGAGATTTACCTGTTCGACTTCTGCCGCCGCTTCGATCCGCCGATGCCCAAGTGCGTGGTTGGCACCGCCTTCCACTACTTCAAACGATTCTACCTGAACAACACGCCAATGGACTATCACCCCAAGGAGATTCTGTAAGAATGTTTCTTACGTAGAAAGCGTTTCGGTTTCAGTTGAAATTGTAAAAGTATTTAAAATCAACTTAAATCCGCTTGTTGATTTAATTACTTACACTCATATAAACAATGTTATAGCACTAATACTATTAATTTCTTATATCTGAGAACTTAAATGTATTTGGGCTAGCAGTAAAACATGATTTTTTTCAGAGCCACATGTGTGTTTGTTGCCTGCAAAGTGGAGGAGTTCAATGTATCCATCAATCAATTCGTCAACAACATCAAGGGTGATCGGAATAAGGCCACAGACATAGTGTTATCCAACGAATTACTCCTGATTGGACAACTAAACTATTACCTCACGATACACAATCCATTCAGACCCATCGAGGGGTTCTTAATAGATATAAAAGTAAGTGCTTTATTTCCCATTAATTGTGAGTTCATCAACTCTTTGGTTTATTTTAGACCCGCAGCAATATGCAAAATCCGGAACGATTACGGCCACATATTGATAGCTTCATTGACTCCACTTTCTACACGGATGCCTGTCTCTTACACACGCCCTCGCAGATTGCTCTGGCTGCCGTCCTTCATGCTGCCAGCAGAGAACAAGAGAATCTTGATAGCTATGTGACGGATCTGCTATTTGTTTCTGCCAGAGATAAGTTGCCCGGACTCATCGATGCCGTGAGAAGTACGTTTATTTCATAAATAAGGAGCACTTTTAACATATCATCTGTTTTCCCTTACAGAAATCCGTATAATGGTAAAGCAATATCAGCAACCAGATCGAGATAAGGTTAAAGCCATTGAAAAGAAGCTCGATAAGTGCCGCAACCAGGCAAATAATCCGGATAGCGAGCTGTAAGACAATTTTATCATAATACTCCTTCAGTTTTTGGTTACATTTGTTTTTTTTTAAAGGTATAAGGAGCGTTTGCGACGGTTGTACACCGATGAGGATGATATGCCAGCCGAAGATGCCTCATTCCATATAGCCGATGTGAGTTCGGATACGTCTGCTATGAACATAAGCCAATAGTTTTTAAAAATATTTATTTTCATGATTTATTGATTTATTTGATATATTTGATGGATTTCATTGATATTAAATCATGTTAAAGAAGTAACAGTTAACAGTTTAATAGGAAAAATGAGTCAGGACTCGTTTTTTTCCGTGTGGATGTGGATCCAAAAACCATTGAATTTTCTTTAAAATCCTCCTTTTCAGACCTGAAACTTTTTCCACTTATTTTAGTATTGCAGAATGATAATCAAGCCTAAAGATCAGAAAATTTATTTCAGTCAAATTTCATATGCACATAATGTATATGCTTTCCTGTCCAAGAATATCAGTTTATTGGACAATAAAAATAAAAAGTAACAAGTGGTTGCGATCGATTCCTATAACTATGGAATATCAAATAAAAACACCTCTTAACGAGGTAAAAAACTAGTGACGATCGCACCTTCAACATACAAAAGTTCTGATATCAACATTTGTGACGAAAAATTATTACACTCGTCATTAAATAGACTTTCTAATATTTTCTCATTTGGCCCGCCCTAGCAGACTATTCCAGCCTTTTTCCCTTCACAGGCATTTTCTATTGCAGCGTGCCGAATGAAAAAATATTAGAAAGTCTATTTAATGACGAGTGTAATAATTTTTCGTCACAAATGTTGATATCAGAACTTTTGTATGTTGAAGGTGCGATCGTCACTAGTTTTTTACCTCGTTAAGAGGTGTTTTTATTTGATATCAGAAGTTTTTGTTTGTTTACATTTGCTCTCATAGGAGCTAATATATACATTTAAATTTAAATTGGTCAATCATAATTTGTAAGCCATTGTATTTAAACAAATTAAGTTAAAAAGTATTTCAAAATACCTTTTAAACGAGGTATGGCAAATGTCTGTACCTTTAGTAGTGTAGAACTTACAAACCATCGAAATTTAGCCGTTTTTAGCTTTTTTCCCGCTAAAGTAGCGGCTTTTTCCAAAAGTCGTAGAACAAAAGATTCCTATATGGAACTCTTAAGTGCAAATTTACAGATTCCATGACCCTAAAATACAGTTCGAATACCCTCACACAAAATTCAATACTCAGGAAGCTTTAGTTGTTCGAGCTGGCAAAAGTGGCTATTTTCGTATAAAAATAACTTTTAAACGTGACTTTTTACAGTAATGTGTTATATACCAAAATTTAAGGAATCTCAAGGGCTATACAGTTTAAAGTTTTCAAGAAAATCGTTAGAGCCGTTTTTGAGAAAAATAAAAAAAAGCTAAAAAAAAGTTTTAAAAAAGTGTCTTTTGTTCATATCTTTTTAATTATTACATTTACACAAATTGCATATAGAAGGCGTTTATAGCATTTAAAAATACCTTTCAAACAAGATGCAGAACAAGTCTGTAGCTTTAGTAGTATAGAAGTTACGGTTTTCCGAATTTTAGCTATTTATAGCTGTTTTCCCGCTAAACTAGCGAGTTTTTCCAAAAGTGATAGAACAAAAGTTTTTTATATCGATGGGATGAACGTCATATTAAATTTTCAAAACTTAAGAAACATGTTTTGGACAAACTGACAAACTGACAAACTGACAAACAGAATTAAATTTTCATTTTGGGAAGAAGAAGGAAATCTTATTTTGGCTATAACTTTTGAACGGAGCGTCGGATTTTGACAAATGACCCCTCATTCGACGGGTATTTTCAAAAGGAATACAACTAAAACATTGCAAGGGGGCATTTATCCCCACCGGCCCCAACAGCTCCAAATTTCGAAATTTTCACTTTTTCACTTTCACCGCTCTCTCTCCCAAGCCAATTGATTTTCTTAAAGTCTTGGTATGCAATCCTTTAAGTTTTTGCAATACCTTTCGATTGGTGTATTACTCATTACGATCGGACTATCACAGCAGATTTTCAATTTTGCGGCTATATAATAGTAGTCGCCTTCGCACACTCTCCTGGTGCGCTTCGTCACTACATGGACTGCCGTCCATAGTGATAAGCGTAGGATTTCAGTAAAACTATTTATTTTTTTTAAAACAACCAGATGATTACGTTGTTCAACTATAATTTTAAAAAACCAAACCGTTAGCTGTTGGAATTGGGATAAGTTCGCTTGCAGTCTGCGGTCACACCTTGCCCAAAGGAAAATAGTGATGTAAATTTGATGTCGATGTTTATTTTTAGAAGCCTATTAAATTTGTTATTGAGATTTCATGATATATAAATAAAAAGGAAGTAAGAGTTTGTCAGTGAGGCACTAAATCCATATGTTGTGCAATTTAGTGAAACTAGTAGTGCATCGATAAACATCGGCATAACAAAAACATCGCCCAAAAATCATCGATGCTCGATGCATCGATGTTTTTTTACATCACTAAAGGAAAACAAAAACAACGTTAAACACAACAAATAAGGAAAGAAAAAACAGAATGCAGGATACACTACCCTCACTGGACTTCCTTTTCCTTGGTCTACCAGGGCACTATTCGGTGGCCCTAATTACCCTGCTCCTGTGCGTTTTGATTGCTCTCTACTTCGCCAACATCTTCAAGGACAAAACCGTGGGTGTTGCCAAAAGAAGTGGTTTTTTCTTTGAGTATTTCGGCTTTCCAACTTGCAGGAATTGGAGGATGAGGGGCTGGGAGCCGACGAGCCACGCGATGAGGAGGATTCCGAGTCGAGGACTCCCCAGGGCGAAGAAACCGACGACGACGAAGCCTACGAGGAGAATTCCACCGAAAGCGAGGTGGACTTCATCGAGGAACAGATACCCGGCCACAACTACAACCACCTGATGGGCCAGCTCAAGGCCAAGGGGCTCCAGCACAAGATGGAGAAGACCCTGACTCCCAGCCAGATCGAGGAGGAGCGCCGAATAGAGCGGGAGCAGCTGGCGGCCATCTTCGATCTTCTGCGCAGGCAGGAGGCGGAACTAAATCTCCAGGATCGCATCAGCGACCAGGATCTCAAGCAGCAGGTGCGGTTATACCGCTGAATTGGAGGGAAATGAAAGCTCAGCTTACCTGAAAGCGAAAACTCGTGTGATCTATAAGTTAAATGTTTAAAAGTCCTCGATTTGCTGTTACCATATGCCGCTCCTTACTAAAAAAAAAAAACACCTTTTGAGTTGATTAATTTGATGTATTCAAAAAGTGTATAATTTATCTTATATCTTATTTATTTAACAAGTGTAGTAGGAGAGCGTTATATGCATTTTCAAGTATTAAAGCTAAGTTTAAATTAGATTCTGAGCTAAAAATACATATTTTTCGATGTTTTAAGCTTCTTGAACTTAGCCCTAAGATATAAAAACAGCACAAAAAGTATATTCCAAGCATAAATTAGGTATTTTCGATTTGCCAAGTCCGTTGGATAATTTTAAAATGTACTTACATAGATTTAGTTTCATTACTAAAGGTATTTGTTGAATAAATAATGTAATGCTGTTAATTTATTGTTATATAAGGATCTAGTACGGGTGGATTGCAGATTTTTAAATTGTATACTTAGTTGTGTGTTTCCGAACCAATTTTCCCCTAAGAGCAAATCTGGGTGCCAAAAACATCTTTATATCCTTGCAGAGGGTATTATGATTTCAGTCAGAAGTTTGCAACGCAGTGAAGGAGACGTTTCCGACCCATAAAGTATATATATTCTTGATCGACATCACTAGACGAGTGGATCTAGCCGTGTCCGTCTGTCAGTCGGTCCGTCTGTCCGTCCGTTTCTACGCAAACTAGTCTTTCAGTTTTGAAGCTATCGGCTTGAAACTTTCCCTTAACTTATAAGTCGGAACCGACCGGATCAGACAACTATATCTTATAGCTCTTATAAATCGGAAAAAAACGTTAAAACAATTCTATTGGGGTTATTATTTATTAAATATTTCTGAATTTAGAATTAAATATTAAAAAATCGGACGACTATATCAAATAGCTGTCATAGGAACGATCGGAAAATTAATAGAAAAACAATAGGAAATAAATGTTAGTTTTTTTGGTTTTTATTAAGTTTTCTTCTACTCTAGGATATGACTATTTTAAAATATTTCCGAATTTCAATTTTAATTTCATATAGCCGCCAACGATCGAACAATTAATGGGAAATTAATTGGAAAGAAATTATAGCTCCGTTGGTTTTTATATTTCCGAATTTTTAATTAAATTTAACACAAATCGGCCCCTATTTATATAGTTTTCATAGGAAGGATAGAAAAAATAATGTCAAAATATGGCGAAATTAAACATTTTTGCGATTAATTTCAAATAGGAATAATCTGCAATGGTACATATATAAGCTTCGGTTGGCCGAAGCTAGCTTCCTTTCTTGTGCTACTTTGTATTTAATTGTAAGATCAATGGATCAGAGCTTAACTTAGCTATGAGTCAAAATCTGCCAAGTGGGCCACCCCTGTTCTGAAGGTCCGATTTTCATCGAACTTTTTTACGTTTCCGGTTCACAACGAAAATATAAGAACTCCATTTGAACGGTTTTGCGAAATTTTGAGTTTTACCGGAGTTATAGGGGTCAAAACATGGCATTTTTGACACTTTTTCGAAAAAGTTGCACTCAGTCATTAATTCATAACTTCGGAACGGTAAGAGATATCTTTATGATGTTTTCACTAATCGCTCAAGAATTATTATGGCTTTCCATAAAAAAATGTAAAAAAAAATTAAAATTTATTTTTCTTAAAAATAAATCAACATTTTTTTTTAGTTTTTATTTTTTTCAGTGTTCTTCACCAGCTATAGAGTTTAAAACCATTTGAAAATGAAGTTTGATTCATTACGAAAAAGATCAAAAAAAAAAAAAGAGTGGCCCGGCCAAAGGTTTTTCGCAATATCGATTTGAAGAAGGGCGCACAGCGGATTCCCATACAAAACGACAAGAAGTGCCTCATTGACAGCTGCAGTCGGCTGACGCTACGCGCGCAACGGCATGTGTTGACCAGCCAATTTTCACGAGCAAGCCGTTTTTTAACTATCGCGTTCTCTCTTGTTTGATTCGCCTCATCCATTTCTCTGTTTCGAATTCAAAAATTCCCGGTTGGCTTTTTGCCCCAGGAAAAAGTTGGCAGGGTTATTGGGACGCGTTGGCAGCATTGGCCCGCTTATTTGATTACTATCGATAGCCTAAGGTAACGAAAAGTATCAACACACCCTTGACAGGACACTCAAGTACATAGCTAACGCTCAAAGTCCCTGATGTTAGTACTAAAATGTTTTTAAATTCACGTGGAGCAGAAATTTTGTTGCAGTTCTAAACGTTCGGTTCGGTTTGTTAAACTGTCGTTGTGGCGCCAATGCATGTTGACTATCGTTCATCGATATACCGCGTTCACGGCAACCGTGTGTGACTGCAGCAGAGCAGACAACAACAACATCGACGTGCGTGTTCCTGTGTGTGTGTGCGTGTGAGATTGGAAGACAATGGCTGCAGCTGCGGATCTGGTTGTTCCTACCCTTGCCAGTGAGTATAATCCGGGTGCAGTCCTGGCCAAGTGGCCTCCAAAGTGCTGCCCCTTCCGTGGGCCACGAAAAGCAGCCACTTGCCAGGCCTGCGAAGGCGGAAAAAGCCCAGAACCCGCTGACCTCGTGTTTCCACCTGCTAATCGGGGCCACTTCTGCCCATCTCGTCCACAGTTCGCTCTAGCGTGGGCGTGGAATTGTGGTCCTCGGCGGGCGCCAAGCAGCCCTACGAGCACAAGCCCCACCTGCCGCGCGAGGAGACGAAGAGCTCGCGCTCGATCTGCTTCAGCTCCGACGGCCGGTACTTCGCCTTCTCCAACGGCCAGGAGGTCAAGGTGCTCCAGGCTCCAGGCCAGGACAGCGCCGCCAGCTGGCCGGTCAAGTGCGTCCTGCCCAGGCCCAAGGCCTTCTACCTGCAGTTCTCGCCACGTGGCAGCTACCTGTGCACCTGGGAGCACTATGCCATCACCAAGGACCGGCCGGAGGGGTCGCCCAACCTGCTCGTCTACGAGGTGGCCACCGGCGCCGAGGTGTTCGCCATCGTCCAGAAGAACCAGACGGACTGGCAGCCCTCCTGGTCGGCGGACGAGTCCATCTTCGCCCTGGTCGTTGGCGGCGAGGCGCTCTTCTATGATCTCGGCGCGGGAGCGGACAAGGGATTCGCCGCCACGTCGCGCAAGATCGGAGGAAGTCGCGGCGGCATGCTGTCACTGGGCCCCGGCAACTGTCCCCCGTACCTGGCCTTCTACACGCCGGGCGCCAAGGGCGCTCCTTCCATGTGCAAGCTCTACAAGTACCCGGCGCTGGGTCAGAACCAGACCGTGGCCTGCAAGAGCTTCTTCCAGGCGGACCGCGTCGAGATGCTGTGGAACAAGCGGGGCAGCGGACTGCTGCTGCTGACCAGCACGGAGGTGGACAAGAGCGGCGCCTCCTACTACGGCAACCAGGCGGTGCACTTCATGGCCACCAAGGGCGACACCTGCTCAGTGCCCCTCTCCAAAGAGGGACCAGTGCACTGCGTCAAGTGGAGTCCCAAGGCCACCGAGTTTGTGGTCGTCTACGGGTTCATGCCCTCCAAGGCGGCCCTCTACAACCTCAAGTGCGACGTGATCTTCGACTTTGGCGAGGGACCGCGCAACTGCGCCTACTTCAATCCGTTCGGCAACCTCATAGTGCTCGCCGGCTTCGGCAATCTACCCGGCGCCGTCGAGGTGTGGGATGTGTCCAAGCGCGAGAAGCTGGCGAACATCAAGTGCGCCGACACCACGGTCTTCGAGTGGCATCCGAACGGAGAGTGGTTCGTGACGGCCACCACGGCGCCCCGGCTGCGCATCAGCAACGGGTAGGTAGATTATATTCGTATATGTAAGAAAATTAACCATCTCCCTGCAGGTTCAAGGTGTACCACTACTCGGGCGCCCTGCTGCACGAGACCATGTGGCCGCAGGGCCAGGAGCTGCTGGGCATCGAGTGGCAGCACTTCGCGGACAAGACTTTCAGCGAGCCCAAGATCACCAAGGCCAAGCACGAGGGCATCAAGTCCAGCCAACCGGAGGCCAGCAAGAAGGCCTACACACCGCCCCATCTGCGGCTGTTGAAGGAGGGCAAGAATCCGGAGAAGTATCTGCCCCAGCCGAGTATTCCGGGACTGAACCCCACCGCAGCAGCAGGTAATACGGCGCGGAAGTTCTGGCACAGGCAGTACGACCTGGACAATCCGATCATGCGGCGGAGCGAGCAGGGCGAGGGTCCGCCGACCACTGGCTCCTCGACCGGCCGCCACAACCGTCGCTATCGGCCCTACCAGCACAAACGCTACTAGGTTCATTTCACCCCCCCTCCACACATTTTCTGTATTAGCATGCCATTAGGATTAGGGATTGACGCGGCCGTAAGTAGGCTCGGCTGTGTGCTTGCTAATTGCTGTTTGCACTTCTATTTCGCCCGCAGGTGGTGCCAATGGGAACAAGAGGAACGCCAAGAACAAGCAGCGGAGCGCTAGGAAGGATGTCAACGCTGTGAACGGCGGCGATGCGGATTCGGTCCCGGCTGAGGTGGCTGAATCAGGTGCTCCGGCTGCTCGTCAGTCGCCCGTTTCCGTGCCCAGACCAAAGCACCAGCCGGATAACGCCCCCGATCAGCAAGTGAACCAAGAGGAACACGGCCAGGCCAATGGCCAGAACATCAGCGAGAAGGAGCGCAAGATCCGCAGTGTCGCCAAGAAGCTGTCGGACATCAAGAAGCTGAAGGTGCGCCGCAGCCAGGGCGAGAGCCTGGAGCTGAACCAGTTGAACAAGATTAAGATGGAAGCACGGTACCTGGACGAGCTCAAGGCTCTCAAGTTGTCTGCCTAGGAGGAAGATGATGGCGTAGCGATAACGACGACGACGGCGGCGAGAAGGATAAGGGATGCGAAGAGTAATTGCTCTTGTGATTGTGATACACCACCTCTTCTCAGCTCCACTCCATTTTCAACTCCTGCCCGTCCCCTTCCTGCTGTTTTACGCTCATTTTGTGGCCCCCATTTGCCGCGATAAGTTTCTAGTTAAAAACATTTTTCTACTATTGTGATTTCCTAACTATTTTTGGCAAAACAAACAGTAGCTCCCAAACAAAACAAATTTATGTACCAAATTGTGCTACCGAGTAAATAAAGATGTTTCCACCAAGATCTGAGTTCCATGTGATTTACTGCTCCCAATTTGACTTCTTCTTGATGAACTTCTCCTGTCCGTTTTCCTGGACGGCCACATAGTAGCCCAGACTCTCGTACTTGTACCGCATGTAGGCGATGTAACCGAAGACCCCGGCAAAGGCGGTCAGTCCCAGGCCCATGATGATTTTGTTCTGAGATTTGGAAGTTAGGATTTAATAGTCTGGAGGCCGTTAAACTGCCAAGATGAAATGGATGCCCACCGGTTTCGTGTACAGCTCAAAGTTGATCAGCCGGAAAACTCCGGTGCTTCGCATGGATCGGATGCCATCGCCGGGATTTTGTTGCTTTCCTTCACTCATCGTGTTGGCGTACTCCACTCAATGACCGGGGAATTTATTGCACAATAAATTTGTAAATATAAACATGTGAAAGGAATGGATTATTGGAACAGTGTGGCCGTTAAACTGCAAAATACCGGCGGTTTCAGCCACAGTGAAGCTTGCCTTGTACAAATGGCTTTGAAGGGGTTGTTTATATACATTTATGAAATATATTATAACTTAAAAAAACTTTATAATTAAAATTCTATAAATAAAATATGTACTATTTTTATTTTAAAAAAATCACACAGAACCATTTGACCGCAATCAATGCAATGTATTCCCCTCAACGACGAACAGTTCAACACTGAATATAATGATAATGTACATTTTATCATTTAACTAATCAAGAGTTAAACAAACTAATACGTTATAATCAGGGGTATCTTGCTAACTTAAACCTGTTGAATATTTTGAAACAGCTGACAGGACTGCATTTTAGCCATTCACAACGAAATTCATTTCAAGCAGACAGTTTTCATTAATTCTTACAAAAACATGCCAAAAAGGAAATTAAGTCGCGCTATTTATCTTCATTCACTTGAAGACTCTGATGAAGAACTACTTGTAAGACCTCGTAAACCACGAGTATACCAAACCAGACCCAACTTTCTCGAGGAAATGGAAGATGATGAGTTTATAAATAAATTCCGGATTTCAAAGGCTACTTGCTCACTTCTGTTACAAAAAATAGGAAAGAAGATGGAGCATCTAACAACTAGGTTGGTAACTATTCCTCGTCGGAAGATATCTTAATTCAACGCTTATCCGTTTAGGAGCTATGCCCTGAGTCCCGAGGATAAACTGTTACTGGCACTACGATTCTATGCCTGTGGAAACTTTTTAATAGCCGTTGGAGACTTTTGCAAGATGAGCACATCCTCCGCGTGTCGGGCGATAAAGGAAGTTTCCCTTAACATAGCCGCACTGTCCAGAGAATACATCATGTTTGGAGAGCCCCGTAAAGTCATAGAGGATTTTCAAAAAATATCCAAGTTCCCAAATGTGATGGGGGCTGTCGGCTGCACTCATATAAGGATTAAATCCCCAAGTCAGAACCAATATGAAGCGTTTCGCAACCGAAAAGGATACTTTTCATTAAACGTACAGATCGCTTCGAGTGCGCAGTTGATTATCCAAGATGTGGTCGCAAGATGGCCCGGATCGACCGATAATAGTACCATCTTTGAAAACAGTCGATTGAAGCACAGGTGGGAAACCGGTGAATTTGAAAATAACTTTCTTTTGGGCAATGGGTATGCAGTAAGCAAATATATGATGACACCCATCACAAACCCAACAACAGAGGCAGAAAGACTTTATAATGAGTCCCAGATCTCAGGTCGCAAAGTCGTTTCAAAATGTTTAGAGGTTTGGAAACAAAGATTTCCGCTGCTGTCCTACGGAATGCGAATCCATATTGATACAGCGAAAGTGGTAATCGTTGCATGTGCTGTTCTGCACAACATAGCCATCCAGGAAAAGGACCCATTACCCCCAGGCCCTGTTGATGAAGACCTACCTCCCGAGTCCTTTGAGGATGCCGAGGCAGTTAATGAAATAGTAGATGACCTCGGTGGTCTTCATCGAAACAATTTGATTAGTACATATTTTGAGAGGTGATAGTCTATTAGAATAAGTTTGGCACAATCTTTATACTAATTTATAAACTGCAGACTTAGAATAAGCTAAATTATAAATTCATCATTCCCTTGGAGCTTCCTGCAAAACATAAATAAAAGTAAGTTAACATTTTTTTAATTATGTTTCTGGTTGCTTACGCTAAGTTTCCGTTTTTTTTCGGCAATTTCTAAATAAAGTAATTGGCGTTTCGCGCTCAATGTTTCCATTTCCTCCAAGTGCTTTTCCTGTGCTCGTATATTTTCCTGTTCATAGAAATTACGCTGTGCCCTAATTAAAAGTAATTTTTCCTCTTGAAGTTGACTGCCAATGTCGGGTTTTTTCGCCTGCATTTTTCCGTTTGGACTTTTTGGTGGGGCAACCAATTTCGCCTCAAAGTGAATCGGATTACTTGGTTTGGAAGTCGCAGTTTCACTGGAGTTCTCCTCGTTGAACTCGATTATATCTCCAATAGATTCTGAAAGTCCATCCGTCTGTAGCTCATTCATAACACCTGCAAAATATTATGTTTCAGTAAAGGCTCTCCACAAATGCAATAAATATTCTTTACTTACAATCGCTGTCTGAGTTGTCGCCACCTGTGTCCTCATTTGCAAGGATCTCTTTTAGTTTATCTGAAACGGATGGGGTTGTGGGAGGCTGTCCATAAGGCAGCCCAGCTCCAAGTTTCTTTTTCAAGGCCTCGTACTTGGATCTCAGGCTAAGACCACTGCGCTTAATCCCAGACTTGTTCGAATAGTTGACGGCTAGATTTTCCCACGCCAATTCCTTTTCTTTCCAAGTCGCGGCATCCGATTTTTTATTTTCGAAAATCTGTCTCTGCTCGGCCGCCAAAGTAATGAGCAAAAACTCTTCTTCCGTGCTAAAGTTTTGACCACGCTTATATTTGTTTCTTTGACTATTCATTTTCACTGAAGTTTAAAACACTTTGAGGATTCTCCAGCGCTGGTTTTTGGGCAAATATGTTTTTAAAGCGGAACTTTCGAATAATAACTGTATCGGTTTGCTAAATAATGTAGCTCGTATCATACAAGTATTCTTTATTTGCTCAGTTATGTTTGAATTTTTGGTTAAACTAAAAAATGCCAAGGAAAACCGTTTATACCTCTCAGTTATTATACCTGTTAGTTAAGATAAAACAGCTGTTTTTGTTTTGCCAATCACAGTAAACACGTTATTACGGGTATTCTTGACGCTTAGCTAGTTTATAGCTATGTACATCTGGTAAATTTTTTCTTTCAGCTTACAATATTCAGGGATTATATTCACATGTACTCGCTAGAAATTGCTATAAGCATTTTCTTTTAGTTAATAGCTCTAGGAATACTAATAAAATAAACAACAAATCATGCTGATCGGACGGCTTATATAACGATTTTACAAGATATGGCATTTAATAACTACCTCTGGGTATCGAAACAATGAATACTTTTAAATTTCCATCGTTGATCAACAAGATATTTAAATAAATTATTAGTTTCTTTAATTTTTGGTTTTAAATAACCCTTTCTTCCGGAATAGTACCACCCACAAGTATACAAGTATATATTTAGCCCCCTAAAGGTGAGTTGGCAGAACTTTTAGTTATTGTTTTTAACAAATACATTCGGTTTTAAATGCTCTTTAATCACGATTGGTTAATTCGGTTACCATTACATCGTGATTTGGAATACAATAAAACAAGAAAGGAAGCTACCTTCGGCCAGCCGAAGCTTATATACCCTTGTAGATAAAAGAATGCTCACTCGGTGCAGTTCCAGGGATTCCAGATTCAGCGTTTCTATTTATTTAAATTTTGTTTTTAAGTAGTCAAGAATCAAAACGCCTACTTCCTACAAAGTTACAATGAATTTTCTTATATTTGTTTGAATATTCCTATGGGAGCCTTAAGATATAGTGGCTCTCTCCGACATATGTACTACCTGCAATAGAAAGAAGACTTTCGGGAAAGTTTCATCGCGATAGCTTGAAAACTGAGAGACTAGTTCGCATAGAAACGGACAGACGGACAGACGGATATGGCTAGATAGACTCGGCTATTGGTGCTGATCAAGAATATATATACTTTATGTGGTCGGAAACGTCTCGTTCACTACGTTGCAAACATCTGAGTGAAATTATAATACCCTCTACAAGGGTATAAATATAAAATGCAACTAAAGAACTTATACATTTTGTAAAATCATGATTGAAACTCAAAAAACAGATTCCAATTGACTGACAGCTAGAGCTAGTACTTGTTAAAACGCTTGAATCTGGTAAAAGTAAACCATTTATCCGTTTTGTGCAACATAATTTTTAATAATAAATATTTGTATGTTTGTATATTACATATGTACTTTAAGGGCAGTCAAATTCGAATTGATAGCCGCGGTCAACAAAGCTTAGACCCCGTTCCGAGTCGACGGGAAAGTCGGCTGTAAAAACAATGTATCCTTTATATACAGGAGAGCTTTTGAGATTCTGCAGTGGATAAATTGATTAGATATAAACCTAGCTATATTTCCCACTAAATAGTTACCGCTTTATCCACAAAATCCTCGAACCCACTGAGCTCATAGTAGAGCTGCAGAGGGGGCGACCGTCCAAAGCCTGGCTTATGCTTGTGCGGTTCTCGTTGTTTAAGGACACTCAGGGCGCGTGGTAGAAAGTTTGGCGTCAGATCGCGACAGTAGGACACATCAAGGTGTTCCAGCCTTGGACAGAGTTCCACGAATCTGAGGAGAATATCGTCGCTCAGGTCGTTCCAGTTGCGCAGGCAGAGGAGCTGAAGGTTTGTCATACAGGTATAGCGCTCCAAATAGTCGGCCGGATGGGTCCAGCTACAAATGGCTAGGCGCCTCAGCCTGCGATGCGTCCAAATTGGCAGCTTCTCATCCCAGCCCGGTTCCAGGGGCATGTAGTAGCCGTCCACGGCGAAGCCCACTATGTGCTCGGCCATGCGCTCCATGATCTCGTAGAACTCACCGACCTCTCGGATCTTGTGGTCATAGCTGTCCGGACTGACCAACGGCGGGATGTGCCACTCGTTGTCCAGCAGCACCACCAGTTTCCTGAGGGAGGGCAGCTCCAGAACGGCGGGCAGAATGGGTTTCAAGGTGGCCAGATTTAGCTTCAGGACGACGAGGTTCCTCAGGCTCGGCAGGCAGTTTCCCAGCTGAAGTTTGCTGATCATGTCGTACGTTCGAATGTCCAGAACCCGCAGATCGTGCAGTTTGCTGTGGGGTAAATGGAAAGTGAGTTGGAAGGCAGCTATCACCTGGCGATCCCTACTTACTGGCACACCTCGTCCAGGTACTCCTGCTGCAGCTCATACGCCTTGTGCTGATCCTCGTAGAGATGCAGCTCCTGCAGATGTTGAAAGTGGGACAGGTACCGCCCGTCGATGGGCGTGGTGAGGCGCAACTTGCGCAGTCCCGGCAGCAGCTGTGCCAGCTTGCGAATGCTCCGGTTCGAGGGATAGCAGTCGACGTCCTCGGGATCGTAGTAGAAGCTGGCCACCAGGGGCAGCTCCGCGATGTGCATTTCGTCCAGATCCTTTAAAAGAGCGCACAGGCAGCTGCTGACGGACATTTCCCTGACGTGCGGTCGCATCTGGGTGAGGAAGTAGACCAGATCTTCATAGTTCGGAAGCAGTTCCCGCCACTTGTCCAGATCGAGGTGCTCGTAGGCACGGCTGGTGCGCCACTTGGCCAGGCAGAGGTGCCGCAGTCGTTGGCAAGTCCTCGCAAAGGCCACTTCGGTCGGTAGGTCCTGCAGGCGGTCGAAAATCTGCTCCAGACAGTCGTCGTTCAGTTGAAGGATCTGCGGAACCGGCTCGGCAGCCATGGCCCTGGGATAGCCCACCTGGTCACCGCACCTGGATTAAAGGTCTGATACAAAATTGTAATGCAGAAACGTAGTATATTCCTGTCTGCTCTCAGTTTTCTGGATACTTCCAAGCAAAGAAACTCAATTGAATAACAAACAAAAATACGACAAACCCTGCGCCCTCCCCCGCAGTATGACCGTGCCCGGATCGCCTAAATATACCGTGTAAAGGTCACACTGCCGTTGTTGTTAGGTATTAACGGTATTCTTTAGGCTGTTAAATTATGAGTAGGGGGATTCCCTAAACTGTTGAATTGCTGAATTGTTGAATTTTGATCAGCTGTTCCATACAAAGTCAACTTTCAGAAATTTCAGCCATTCATCAGCCTCGGGGCTGTTGAAAATTTTGTTGAATTGCTGAAAAGCCAGAGTTGTCACCTTTTTTTAAAAGTCGTGGCTACTCTGTAACATTTTAGTATCACCAGTACGGATTATTTATTTTAAAATAAATTTAGAAAGCATATTTGTGGTTCTTTTTACCTTGGTAACACTTTTAGACAGTAACTAGCAATAATAAATCAAATTTTACATGCTTTAAGTTCCGTGAAATTTTTCAACAAATAACAGCTGTTTGAAAATTCAACAGGAACCATTTTGGGTCGTTCCCCTAATTGCTGAAATTTGTTGTTGAATTTTCAACAATTCAGCAATTCAACAGTTTAGGGAATACCCCTAGTATTTACCAACTGTTTGTTAGATGTTGAATCGTTGATAATTCAACTGACGTTATCATCAAGAAAGAACAACAACAAATTGTTCCTGTTAAATTCTTTAACACCTTTCATGGAATTTATATAATGCATAATTTTATCTTTCAATAAATTAATAATAACAAGATATGAAATCCTTTGATTCTAAAGTTAATACTGTATTACTAGACTAAATAAAAAGCGGATTTGCTAAACTGTTGAACTGTTTAATTTTGGATCGAGCTTAAAAGCTGACTGAAATTAAACATTTTAAGAAATTAAGAATTGGCATCCGAGCATTGTCGTAGAACACGAATGTCTACTGTAGTTTAAGTGCTGTAAAACTCTTCAAAGTCACTTAGAGCAGAGCTGCCGGACTGGACGTGTGCTGCCATACCGCTAAAAACTCAAAACACGTGTGTGTGCGCATTCTTTTTTATGTGAACGAGCGTGCGGCTAGGAATTAATTGCGGACGGGAAATTTAGAGAAATAACTTAAACAATCATGACGGACCTGCTCAAGTTAAGCGATGCGATCGTTCTGGAGTACCTGCAGACGAAGGACAAGAACCTGGCCAAGGTTTTCCAGCAGAAGACGAAGGCGGTGAGTTTCGGTGCACGGCGGCAAGTGCAATGTGTCCGATTGGGATGCACTTATTTCTTGTGCCATCTGCATGCGCAGTGCAGGACCAGGAAGCCGGACACCTGAGCGCTGCAACAGATTGTTCTTGGGCCGCCCACCTACTATTCGACACCGACTCCATGACCACGTGTTCCCTAACCAACAACATATTTCTCTTTCCAACCCCCAGGCTAGCGTAGCTAAGAACACGCCGAAGCTCAGTGAGATTCTGCAGTTCTACCAGTCGAAGAGCACCACCAAGATCCCGGCCATCAAGGCGGCAGCGGCGGACAGCAGCGATGACAGCGACTCTGACTCCGAGGAGGAAGCGGCGCCCAAGAAGCCCGCAGCGGCCGCTCCACTGACAAACGGCAATGCCGCCAAGAAGGCAGCCTCCTCCAGCAGCGAGGACAGCGATTCCGAGGAGGAGAAGAAGCCTGCGGCCAAGGCCACGCCGGCCAAGGCAGCTCCCGCCGCCAAGAAGGCAGACTCCTCCAGCGAGGACAGCTCCTCGGAGGAAGAGGCGCCCAAAAAGGCAGCACCTGTCAAGCCGGCTGCGGCGAAGGCAACTCCCGCCAAGAAGGCCGCTTCCAGCAGCGAGGACAGCAGTTCCGAAGAGGAGGCTAAGCCCGCCGTTAAGGCCACACCGGCTAAGGCTGCAGCCGCCAAGAAGCCCGCCTCCAGCAGCGAGGACAGCAGTTCCGAGGAGGAGGCCAAGCCCGCCGCCAAGCCGGCAGTCAAGGCTGCGCCGGCCAAGAAGGCCGCCTCTTCCAGCGAAGACAGCGACTCTGACGACGAGCCTGCAGCCAAGAAGCCCGCGGTAAAGCCTGCCGCTAAACCTGCCGCTTCCAGCAGCGAGGACAGCGACTCCGAGGAGGAGAAGAAGCCCGCAGCAAAGGCTCCGGCCAAGGCGGCCCCAGCCAAAAAGGCGGAATCCTCTAGCGAGGACAGCTCCTCGGAAGATGAGGCTCCCAAGAAGGCAGCAGCTCCAGCGAAGGCCACCCCAGCTAAGGCTGCGCCGGCCAAGAAGGCTGACAGCTCCAGTGAGGACAGTTCATCGGAGGACGAGGCACCCAAAAAGGCTGCTCCGGCTAAGGCCACGCCGGCCAAGAAGGCGGCTTCTTCCAGTGATGACAGTTCCTCGGAGGACGAGGCACCCAAGAAGGTGGCTGCCCCACCAAAGGCGACACCGGCCAAGAAGGCTGATACATCCAGCGAAGACAGCGACTCCGATGAGGAGGAGGCTCCCAAGAAACCGGCCGCCAAGCCGGTTGCAAAGGCTACTCCCGCCAAGAAAGCCGATTCCGAGGATTCGTCGGAGGATAGCGACAGCTCTGAGGACGAAAAGCCCAAGGCTAAGGCTGCCCCGAAGGCTCCGGCCAAGGCTGCCGCCTCGAGCAGCGAGGACTCCAGCGAGGATGAGACACCGGCAGTGAAGCCAGCCGTCAAGAAGACCGCTGCTCCTGCTAAGAAGGCAGACAGCAGCAGTGATGACAGCGACTCTGGCGAGGAATCCGGGGAGGTAAAGCCCCAGGCTGTGGCCAATGGCGGTGCGAAGGCCGGTCAGAAGCGCAAGTTCAGTGGAGGTGACCAGGAAGAGGCCACTCCCAACAAGAAGTACAACAACTTTGTCAAGTCGGGAGAACAGCAGGTGAGTGGGGGTGCTATATTTTATGGCGATATTGACTTGTCTAAATCATTGAGAGTAGGGTCTTAAATCATTGGATACTCATGTACCCTAGAACCAAAATGGATACGTTGGTGTATTAGAAACCCTTTTAAACAAACATATTTCAGAATGTTTTTCAAACTAAAGTAGATATGGGCAATTCTCTGGGGATGTCAACCAAGCCAAAAAGCGTTAAACCTGAAAAAAACATATTTCTATATAATTTTGCACTGATATTTGATTCTAGTTAGATGGATACTCAACTTAGCTAAGTAACTTGAGTATCCTTGGATAATTTTCCAGGACAATACCGGTTATATGAACAAAAAAGGCATTTTTTGTTATTTTTTAAAGTGGATCTTAAACGGTTTTTTGACGTTAAGGTTACAGAAAAAACACCAAAGAAAATGACGGAAAAAACTGTCGCGTGCGACATGTAGCGTGTAATAGTCACTTCGATGCCAATAAAAAAACCACTCAATATTTTTTAACCAAGCCAAATACATTTTAAAGAGGAAAGAACAAGGAACATTACCTGCATTATAATATTCCTTCACGTTTCGTTACAATCGAAAGTAAAGCAAAGTAAAGTAAAGTCAAAAAAGTAACTTCTATTGGTGTCGCGTGCGAAAGTCTTGGTTTTTTTTATATATCTTAAAAACGAAAAATGCTAATCAAGACCTTTAATTTAAGCCTAGTGCCAAAAGAAAAGATGTCCGGAAGATGGGTTTTTTTCACTTGCAAAGTGTACGAACGTCGCGTGCGACAGCAGAGAATTGCCTATATATTTTAAAAAATATCATAAAACCCATTCAAATATCATAAGAAGACCTTCTTAACCCTGAAATACCTTGGAGTGACCACTTGTCCGAGTCCTGTCCAGACACTTGATACTTACTCGTTTGCCATTCGCAGAAGAATGATTTCACCTCCACACCCAACAACAACTTTAACCGAAACAATCAGTCAAACAATAGCGGAGGGGGAAGTGGCCGACGGTCACCCTTCCGACGGGTTCGCACCGAGGATGTGCTGGTGGACTCCCGGGTCCAGGACATGTCCTTCGAGGCTAAGGTAAGTGCCGCAATGGATTTGAGTCGCGCATGTGGGTGTGTGTGTGTTTGGGGGCGGGCTAGAGAGCAGGCTAGGATGGGGGTGGGGTTTCCTGGGACGCCGAAAAGAGGCGGACACACAAATTAGCGAGATGCGCCGCGTAGAAAACTCAAATCAGTTGCGGCACTTTCCGGATCCATTTCGAACATGCATTTCAAATCGTTGCTAATTTGTGGTTCGCCCTCTTTGGCGTTTCTCTCTTTCAGGACAACGGCTTCAAGAAGCACAACAACGGACGCGGCGGCCGTGGTGGCTCTGGATTCTCTGGACGTCCGGATCGCAGCACCTGGGAGACCAACAAAAACGACGGCGAGGGCGGCGGTGAAGGAGGCGGCTTCAAGAAGATCGGCGATCGCAAGAGCTTCGGAGGCTTTGACAACAACCAGCGAGGAGGCCGAGGCGGCGGTGGTCGTGGAGGTGGCGGCCGTGGAGGCGGTGGTGGCTTCGGCGGACGTGGTGGCGGCGGACGTGGAGGCGGTGGTGGCTTCGGCGGACGCGGTGGCGGCGGACGTGGAGGAGGCGGTTTCGGTGGACGTGGCGGCGGTGGACGCGGGGGTGGTCGTGGCGGTGGTTTCGGAAACAAATCCTTTGACTCGTCGGCGCCCAAGCCGAACAAGAAGATCACCTTTGACAATTAGAGATAGTTTAGTTAACGCCACCCACCAGCAAACACACACACACTAGATGCAGTTATGTTATCGAATTAACCTGTTTATATTATTTGTAAACCACGATAGAAAAACGCTGCCGGCTCTTGGGGTGAGAGGGCCAACAAAGATCTGAAGCACACGCGCGGCAAGTCCTTCAAGCACGAGAAGACCAAGAAGAAGCGCGGCAGCTATCGAGGCGGCCAAATTGACGTTGGAGTCAATTCAATAAAATTTGACTAGATTTATACATACACTCTATGAAATAATCAATATTCTTACGGATACACTTAGCCTGTAAGCCACAAAAGTAACTATGTAGAATAGTTTCCTTATGCAATAATTTCGCCAACTTGTAAAATCTTTCCAAACTTTTAATTTGACTCGAGGAAGTACGCACCTCTGTTTTAATCCGGAGTGTTACATAAATAATATAGAAGCCAATTTCAAGAGAAATTTGTATGTACTTTTAGTCCGAATTTGGTTGGAGCAGATTTGTAAAGCACCCCGGATTTGAATTGATTCAATGCGAACAGGAGGTTAATATAACTGAGACCAGACTACATTTTGTAGTAGTACTTTCTCTCCTTTTAAATAATGGTTATTACGACTTAAGCGGACCAAACATTTTCTTTTTCTGATCGGTCTGAAGGTAGACGAAAATCTTTACGCAGACTTTTTATAAACCTTTTAAGACTAAATACTTATACATTTTATTTGTATTGCCTTTATTAAACCAATATCCTTAATTTTTATTAAAAAAAGGTTTATAAAAAATCGAAAAAAAACCCACGGATTTGTCAGACGCTTGGATAAAAAAAAAGATGCCTATTCCGATTAGTGTTTAAGCCATTTTGCGTTAATTTGTGGTGATAACAAGCATTTGGTTCCAAATTGTAAGAATGTAAGATCAAGTCAGAACTTCAATATGTCAAAGTTTAGATCACTAATTTGTCGATATAGGCAACCAATAAAATTAGTTCAACTTAAGTCAAATGGAAAGAAAAATACATGTATTTTTTAAAAACAAAACCGGTGGTACTTTTGATTCTAGCTTATAAAACAAATTGAAAAGCATCCCGGAAATTCCCGCGGAAATGCTATTTAAGGGTACAATTATACTTTATTAGTATGTACTTTTAAAACGTCTTACAAAGGGGTGTCACAAAAATATTTTCTAACCGAAATCTTTTTTTTTCTTACGTACATCAATGCACTTAAACAACCGTCTTCGGTTGAAAGAGATTTCTGTGACAGCTCCGTTAATTTTAGGCGAAAAGTTAACAACTGTCTAATACACCTACCTATATATTTCCCACAATCAATTTAAAACTGAGGTGGTGCCGATCAAGTTTAAGAACGATTTGCACTAGATTACTCAAGTTTCCATAAATTTGCAATATGTGTTCCGAAAAATTTTAATGTAAGATTCCCATTTTAAATAATGATTAATGTTTCCATGGAAAATTAATAAAATGCAATTAGGCCGGATATAATTTTTGCTCAACAAAATAAACACATTCGGGTGAATACCAATTGATATCATTATGGGCGCTAGAAATATTTCCCTTTGCCTTGAAATTTAAATATTTTATTAATATGAATTTGATGCTTACGGTATATGTAACTAGACTTTAATTTATCTCTTCACGATCTTCCACATTTAGTAATCAAAATGTATTGTCAAGTGTTTGCTTTCACATACATGGGTGTGTACATAGACGCATTATATAGTTTATAACTGGAAAGGGCATAACGCAATTCAAGTAATATTGATAAAGATAAAAACAAAAGACGGGCCGTGTAATTATAAATCATATAATTAAATAATCACATTGCGTATAATCGTACGTTAACATAATGATATTACATAGTATCCATTTAAAATATCCATGTCACGGTGTGTTTGTGGTTCGAAAGGTATCAGCATATCAATTTACAAACTTTTTTTGAGGCATACTCATGGGTAGTTCTGAGATTCTTAGAGTGTGTGTGTATACAAATTGTAGCTAACGGAACTAGAAAGGTGTTAGGGTGTTAGGGTATGGGATGGTGTTTAAAAATATTTCAACAAAATACATTTATATATATTTATATAGTTAGTAGTTATATGAGATTCCTGTCGGGTTTTTTTGCTTCAGCTAATTCTCATCCCACTCCCCATTCACATCCTACTTCGCTCAGCTTACTCGCACATATATGGATAGTTGACATCACGCAGGGGCACAAAAGTCTCCTTGATGGATTGCGGAGACGTCCAGCGCAGAATATAATGGGGTCCTCCGGCCTTGTCATTGGTGCCGGACATTCGGCCACCACCGAATGGCTGCTGGCCCACCACGGATCCGGTGGACTTGTCGTTGATGTAGAAGTTTCCAGCGGCCATTTTGAACTCCTGCAGAGCGCACTTGACAAACTCCCTGAAAGTAAGTGTTATGAACAAAGGGCAACTTTACTTCCGGTCTCTCCTTACTCGTCCTGGCCGAATACTGCTCCGGTTAAAGCAAACTTGGTTGAGGTGTGCACCAGCTTCATGGTTTCCAGGAGGTCCGACTCCTTGTACACATAAATCGATAGCACCGGGCCGAAAATCTCCTCGGTCATGATACGGTCCTTCGGATCCTTGCTGAGGACAATGGTCGGATTGACGTAGTACCCCTTGCTGTCCGAGTACGTGCCGCCGGCGAGAATTTCGAGGTTCGAGGACTTCTTGGCATGCTCAATATAGCCCGTAATGCGTTTAAATGCTTTGTCATCAATAACAGCCGACGTGAAGCTGCTAAAGTCTTGAACGTCGCCGATCTTCAGTTTCGACGCTTCGCGCAAAAGGCCTTCCTTGATCTAAAGGCGAGAGGTTCAACAAAACATCGTAATCTGATGACTCTTGAACTCACCTGTGGCCACAGAGACTCGGGCACATACATACGCGAGCAGGCAGAACACTTCTGACCGCAGTACTCAAATGCCGAGCGTATCGTGGATGTCACCACCGATTCAACATCGGCTGATGCATGCACAAAGTGAAAATTCTTGCCGCCACACTCACCAGTCAAGCGTGGAAAGTTCACGTACTTGTCAATGTTGTTGCCCACCTGCTTCCACAGGCGATTGAAGGTTCTGTCGACGGACGGAAGGAAGGGGTTTGAATAGGAAAATCAATAGACCGACAATTACTTACGGGACTGAGCCGGTGAAATTGATGCCGGCCAGGTGGGGACTGGCGGTAATGGTGTCCCCAAACACGGGTCCATCGGCGGGCACGAAGTTAACGACTCCATCGGGCACTCCCGCTTCGCGCATAATTTTGAAAATAAGCCAGTTGGACAGCATGGCAGTGTCCGATGGTTTCCACAGCACACCGTTTCCCTGGGAAAAAAGAAGGTGGTTGCTTAGTATATTGGAAATTTCAAGGATAGGCTGGCCCTACCATCAGAGCTGGCGTGTAAGACAAGTTGCCGCCGATGGCCGTAAAGTTAAAGGGGCTGACAGCCGCAATGAAGCCATCAATGCCACGATAACGCAAAGAGTTCTTAGTAACCTTGATGTTTTCGCTGATGGGCTGATATTTAGTGACCTCCTTCAGAAAGTAGGCGTTCATTCTGCGAGATAAAATATAGATTAGTACTTATTGTAAGAGCTTTATTATATAAATTCACGAAATAGTTTTAAAATATGTGGTACGGTAAGTCTTATTTTTATACCTTATAATTTATAATTTTTGGTCAGAAGTTAGTAACGCAGTGAAGGAGACGTTTCCGACCCCATAAAGTATATATATTCTTGATCAGGATCAATAGGGGAGTCGATATAGCCATGTAAGTCTGTCCGTCTGTCCGTCTGTTTCAATACCGTTGGCGAGCTGTGAAACTTTCACAGTCGTCCTAAAACATGTGTACCCAGATCAAGTTTGAAAACCGACCCGATCAGACGTCTATATCTTATAGCTCCCATACGAACAATCGGATATAGCTTTCACAAAATGAAGATATTTCGCTCAGTGTAAGAGCTTTTGACATGAATCTTATTCTTTTACGCATACCTTGATCAGGGTAAAAGCGCGTGCCGATCGGACGTCTATATCTTATAGCTCCCATAGGAACAATAGGGTGAAATCGGTCAAAATGTGATGTTTTTCAGGACATTTCGCGCAGAATATAAGCTATTCTTATGAAACTTTCCAAATCGTATTATTTTATGCATACCTTGGTCAAGGTAAAAGCGCTTGCCGATCGGACGTCTATATCATATAGCTCCCATAGGAACAATAAGGTGAAAAATTTAAAATTTTTATTTTTTTCAATTATAGAATATTTTGTTGTTTATTAATTAATGTTGCTATTCTAGTCAAGTTTTCATTCGTGAAATCTGCAAGGATATTAAAACTTCGGCTTGCCGAAGTTAGCTTCCGTCCCCGTTTTTGGTTTTTTTCACTCACCGTATAAAGTCAATAAGCTCCGCTGCCGCATCGATTTCAGCTTGGATTGCCGTTTTGGACTGACCCAACATGGTAGCGGCGTTAAGTTCCTGGCGATATGTCGTCGCCATTAGATCTGCTGCCTTCTCCCAGATCTTCAGACGGTCTGCGATCGGCACTCGGTCCCACTTGGGCTGCGTTTCCACGGCGGTTTTGATGGCCTTCTCAATGAGCTTCTTGTCGGCGTAGTAGAAGCTTGCCAGCTTATGTTGGTGGTCATGGGGCATAACCTGGTAGCGCACTTCTGACGTCTTGTATTCCTTGCCCCCGATCACGATGGGAATATCCTCGCAACTCGAAGACGTGCCCTTTAGAGCCTGCTCAAGGGCCTTGCGCTCCTTCGAGTCCTTCCGATAACCCAGGATCGGTTCATTGACGATCGGGAAGTCCTTCAGGTTGAGGTCCGGTATAACAGAGCCCAGACTGCGAGTGTAGCTGCATATAAGAATGTAAGTTTAAGAAATCATAAATAAATAAAAATATTATATTAATTAGAATTGGTTTTCTAAAGGGAACATTTATAAAACAATTCTATTTCATAACTATTACGAACATATTATGTCAGGTTGACTATTATTTCTTAATTTGATTTGAGACTATTATCGATTTAAACTTTAAAGTTACCTTTTTAATACGCTCTGCTGCAGACTGGAGCATCTGGAGGCGGAACTTCGCAGCACTCGCAACATCTTGTCGGGATTGGGGGGCCTGTCTCCTTTGCTGCCGAATTATATAAGCGGTCTGTAGATTATTCGTCGTCGTCGGCTCGTACCACCTAGAATTTTGCTATCTGAGCGATAAGGCAGCGAAACGAACAAACTTCTGATTAGTATTCATTTATCAGCAACCTTGACAATTCATTGGGGGTCCGCTTCGAGTCGCGTGATTTTGATAAGCAGCCAAACGTGAAGCACCCGACACACCCCCCAGATAAGGCAACACTGCGGCGCAAAAATATACGTACTGCCGAGCAATTCTAGATCAAGTTGGGCAGTTTGTCAACTGAATTGATGACTGAGTAGTTTTTAGTTTATTTTTTTATCGATATCCTAGTTCCCTCGCTCACTCACACTCGCACTTAAAGCGCTTTTATGTACAAACAGAAAGCTAAAATTTGACGAGCATCAGCTGTTCTGTCTACGATGCGCACAGTGGGAGAAGTGCGTGTAAAAGCTGATAAAATGCAATTCTTTATTGAGTAATTATTTTCTTCATTTATTGTCATTTTGATTTTACGAAATGGGATTAATATATGTAAAATAGTAAAAGAGTGCAATGTATTGACTATTCGTCTTTACTAAGTCTTAGCTGTAAGCACTTGACTGTGCTTTTATCCAACTTCGTGGGGCTCGAAATTTAATTAACTGCCCATAAAATCACAGATTGCAATCAACTAATTTCAATTGCGGCCTTTTTGTCTTTTTCCACTGTGCGGTGGCTACGGAAATTTCCCATTGCCGAAACCAGAAAGATAGATGAGAGGGGGGTGAAGGGGACTCGAGCAGAAGTAGCTCTTGTTGTTTTTTAACTGACGCTGCCTTGATTTATGAAATTAAGC